CGCAATTCCTGAGGACTCGTGCATGACTCCAAACCTCAGCCTTCACGCACCCCGGCCTGAAAGCTCGACATCGTCGCAGTAACCCGGATAGCGCTGACCGGAGAAGTGAGGGATGATAGCAACACCCTCGTCCGTGGGTCGATTGATTAGTTCGTTTGTCTTGTAAAACGACACGGGCAAAAAAAGCGAAGCAACGTTGATTTTCTTGCAGGACGGCAAGAGTAAAGACAAACGAAAGCATCAAGCGAATGGGAAGCGGTTCTTCACACTTCCTCAAACGCGATCTGCTTCGCTGAGCTACGCGCTTCCACGGCCTGCCGCTCTTTCGCACGCGCCCACTTGGCCAGTAGGATATGTGAAGGGTGGCCTGCACTGTTATCAGATCCCCTGTTTTAGATAGGGCTTGGGGAGGAACGCGGACTTGCCCATGAGCACCAAGATTAGTGGAAGGTCAGGTTTCTCATGCTTGCACTACTCTGGGGCAACACGTCGAGGCAGCGCTCCTGTGTGAAGGTTCTGTTGAGGTTACATTCTCCTGCACGCTGCATCCTCCACCACGCCCCGCTCCAATGCCAATCATCCGGGTTTTCCAGCCACTTTCCTTGCGATGTGTACAAGTTTCAGGTAACAGTGCGGCCTTCAGCAGCTCATCCGCGGCCCTCCTCCACGTAACACCTTCAAGCAACGACCTGCGCCTTGTCCATCGCGAAGCATAGCCCTCAAGTGTTCTCTGCTCCTCAGATATTCCTTTCTATTGGAGCCCAGCAGTTGCTATCAGACGGGCCAGGAAGATGGTTGGTAAGGGCGGATAGCATAGGGCCGGAATGATGCAAGGTCCGTTGAAGCACCAACCGGAAAGGGGCCTCGTCGTCATTAGGGGCTCATGGAGCCAAGGACCGAGGAAGTAACTTTGAGCTGCTCCAGTCACCAACAAGCAGGCCGCATACGTTCTGCTTGCTTGACGCTGAGGCTGTCGCCAGACCCTAAACCCTAAACCATCCTAAACCCTAAACCATCCTAATTAAACCCTAAACCATCCTAACACCTGAACCCTAAACCGTCAGGATCCTTTGAAGATGTGAGCCCTGCAAGCCAGTGGGCCTTTCGCCAGCACCTCCTCCCTCAGAGCCTGCTTCATGTCTTTCTAAGGCCTTAGCGGCCCTCTTCCGTTCTGGAGACTTCACTGAACTGGAGGGCTACAGAAACCGTTTGGATGTTCAGGGTTGGGGGTTTAGGGATGTTTAGGGTGTCAGGTTCACAAACTAGCATCCAGAGTTGTGCTCTCTGCTCTATCTGAGGCCGCCCAAGCCCAAGAGGTCTTTGAGAACGGACGGTGTCCTCTGTGCTCTGAACCTTAAAACTGCCTAAAACTCTAAGAGTGCCAAGCTTCGTGCCGTCATCCGCGACTTAACGACATCCTACGACGACGGCGCTCTGACCGCTGCGAAGCCTTCAGGGCGAACTCCGATTTCGGGACCTGACTCAGTAGCTGGTCATGCAATTTTGAAAGGGGCCCCCAGGGGCCCTAAACCCTAAACCCTAAGCCAGGGGCCCTTGTAGTACCCCTAAGGTGTGTTGGAAAATTCGACTTCCCGAAAAATCCTGCAATCCCATCGCCGAGGCCAGCCTTTGGTAGAAGGGGCTCGGACGAAACTCCCAAGATAAGAGGGTTGATAGGCATGTTAGCTGGGAAGAACCCTCTGTGTCTTTCTCTTCCGCAGCCTGTTTCTGTCTGTCAGCTGTACCTCGCTACATAGAGACCTGACAAGCGCGCAACTTAGGGATAGAAGCAGGGACAGGAAGTCCGGCAAGAAGCAAAGGATTGCTGGGCGGTGCATACTTAGCACGGACTGCACCACTAAGGGATTGGAGTGACCACGAGCTAGCCGCACAAAGCAGGGTGGCGAGAACCGCTGCGTGCAAGCATTCTGCATTCTGCACCTTCAACCCTTCGGCAGGAAATCGGCTGCTTTGCGAAAATCTGAGCATCCGAAGCCTTGGATTCAGACTGTTTCGCCGCGTCACGTGACATGACGCCAAGACTGCGAGTGTGCACATGTTTCTCTCTGCGAAGGTTGGAGAGTTGGTTCGCAGTGCACATCGCGAGAGGAAAAGCGCAAAGCAGGTAAATGCTAAACCCTAAACCCTACACCCTGAACCTCCAAACCCCCAAACCCGCCAAACCGCCAAACCCTAACCCTAGACCGTTAACGGCTGCGAGACCCTGAATACAGGCAGAAAGCAGGGGAAGATTCCTGTAGCTGAACACGAGGACAAGCCTCAATTCCCGAACTCTTGGTCCCACGGTTGATGATGTAAATCCTGGGGTTCCTTCAAAGGGATCTATAAGGGTACCTTTAAGGGGCTCCTTCAAGGGATCTATAGGGTTTAGGATTGAAGGTTGATGATACAAATCCTGCACTACACACAACAAGGAATATGCCATCATTCTCATAGTCTAGGGTCCTTAAGATAATGCAGGCTTTGTATCATCAGCCGTATTAAGCGCCTTTTGACATCAAGGTTGCCTTGCCATGTAGGAGTTTAAGCCTTCTATGCGACACCGTGAAGCCTCAGACAATGACCGCATGAAGCCAATGCCCGATGTCCACCCAGTAATATAGGGGCCTTTATAATAACTTATAGGGTTCCTAGGGTTCCTTTGAAGGGTCTATGAGGGTTACTAGCTACCAATACTATTTGGGGGTTCCTTGTTATAGTTGTTGTAATGGCCCCCAAACCCTATTCTAATTACTAAGGCCCTCAGTAGACCGGTTGAGTTTCGGTCACCGCTGTTCCGTTTCCTTCTCTTCCAGCAGATAATCCTTTACGGAAAAATGTCATATGATACTGTATGATACCATATGCAATATACTATATGCTACTGTTGATGATAGAAATCCCGCAATACCTTGAGGACCCTAAACGATGGAATTATAGATGGTTATTATATGATATATTCCTTATTATGGGTAATTCAGGGTTTTTTTATCATCAACCGTAAACCCTAAACCCTGTAGATACTTGAACGGAGCCCCTTAAAGGTACCCCTAAAGATCCCTTTAAAGGAACCCCAGGACAGATATTTGATCGAGCCAAGACCGGCTTAAACAACTTAGCCCGAGTACATTAAGCATACTAGCGTATAATACCGTATAGTATAGTATAGTACATTAGAGAGAGAGCTACAGTATAGTATGTTTGAGAGTTACAGTACGGTATATTAGAGAGTTATAGTGTAGCAAATCAGAGAGTTATAGCAAAGCATAGTATATTAGAGAGTTACAGTATAGTATATTAAAGAGTTACAGCATCGTATATTAGAGAGTTATCGTAGAGTATATTAGAGACTTACAGTATAGCATATGAGCGAGTTATAGTATAGCAAATTCGGGAGTTATAGTATAGTATGGCATATTAGAGAGTTATAGTATAGTATACCAGAGAGTTCTAGTATAGTATAGTATATTAGAGAGCTTGAGTCCGTATCTTGAGCACGAGACATGACCTCAGCCTTTCCACTCAACCCTGGCTTGTTTTCAGCACTCGTCATGGGCTGTGAGGCTGCAGGTTGTACCCGCATGCGACCCATGTTCAAATCGTTTGGGCCATTGTGAGAATTCCAATGTAGTGCCATGCATGGCATCATTCCTTCTGTCGCGACTGCGTCCGTGACGAGGCGAGCTTTCAGCTGTGTTGCGGCATGAAACTATGTAGATGAGTCGCAGCCAGCACGAAACTAAACAGCGAACCGTGAGAAGCTTGTTCTCGTATGCGCAATGGGAGTGAGATGAAGCGGGCAGTTTTGGCATGGATGTAAATTACAAGCCATCGCCCTACGACTGCTAAGCCTTGTTTAGAATTTTAGTATTTGTACCGATTGGCGTGGAGGTTCGGGGGCTGCTGATTTATGATGGAATTGCAGGTACAGAGCCGCTAAATTTCAATCGGATTGCTCAGAAAAGAATCTAGGTTACGATACTGCCCCCCACTCAGTAACGGTTGGATAATATTCGCAATATAGATATAGTAAGGCCTTAAGAGTAGCCCTATTATAGACTGTTACTGTATGGGGGCAGTATCCAAATCCAGCTGACGACGACCTTAACGGACAACACTTAAGCATGTCCCTGTGTTGGTGTATGGCTATTAATCTGAGGACTTAGGACTCGATGCGTCAACGCTTCAAAACACGCGCGAAAAACAGGGTTCTTGTTGAGGAGACTAAGTCTAGTTACCCTAATAAGGAAGCCATGTTTCTCACCACAGATCCGTTTTCTGGAACTTTGACTGTGTTTGCTAGCAAAGACCCAGACAAAGGATCTTCAGTCATGGGCCAAGGGGGTCCACCGACAGACCCGAAATCCCTTATGGCTGTGAATAAAGGGGCGAGCCCAGACGGGCCAATTTTCCAAAATCCAAAACTCCAGGTGTGACAGATTCTAGCATAATAGCAAGCTGCGTCGGAGTCTATAATGTTCGATCACTTTGGGGTACGAGGTTTGAGCCAGGGCATCAGCACTCCAGACGGTCACTGCTGCGCACCGACTTTCCAACCGTCCCAAACAGAAGCCTGCCGGTGGAACAGAGTTGAGCTCTAGACTGGCCTCAGATCGTGCCCGGACGCTTATGTGGAGCTTGATGGGTGCTAACCGCTAGGGTCAAGGTTTCCTGAAGTGGTATATTTTTCACATCTACAGACACGCTTTCCTAATGCATACAGGCACGCACATCCCGTGATCTTGGTTCTGAACAGGGGCAGCGGGATCCTAGTTGGCAGGGCACCAAATGAAGCATGTAGCTTGAACACACTTGTCCATGGTTCTCCAATCCCATCCAATTTCCAGGATTTTGCAGCTTCCACCTGTTGCAGCCGCAGATGAGACGGTCGAGCGCCGAGTGGAGTGCGAAAAGAGTCGTCGTGATCTGAGGATGCAAGCATGTGCATACATGTCAACTCAGCAGGATACAGCAGATCGCCTGATTTTCGCCACAGCCGCATGGAAGCTCGAAACTTCGACGTGCGCCGTTGTCTTTTCATTTCGTGTATATTTGGTTTTCATATTTCCGCCCTTCGCTTCGATGATGCTCCGGCTAATCCTGAAGAGGCCCAGCCTACTTTGGCAGACTCCAAATGTGAGAAGAAGCTGCAGACGCTCGAAGAGGAAGTTCTGCGATTCTGTCACTCGGAGCAGGAGGGCTTGAAGAACGGCCAGTACAAATGGCTCACGCATGTCAGAGATGTGAACGCCACTGAGATGGCCCGCAACGTCATGCATGCCCTGAGATGGGGAAAGCGAGATGCATCACATGGGCTGCTCTTCACGAAGAAGACTTTCTACGACCGGAACTCTACTTTACTCCTGTGGAGCGGCGTCTCTCCGCGATCGCGTGAGAAGTGGTGCAAATCCTTGAACATGTACATGTCGCCCGGCCCAAAGAACCGGCCTCCACCACTTAAACCGCCCTGCCTGACTAGAGAGTCTAGATCTAGGTAAGTTAGCTCCTGCGCCCTGCGCCGCGCTCTGAGGTTGCACGCTGGTGGCAATGACGATATCCAGACGCCCTTCGGCATCATTCTGGAGAAGATCAAAGGCGAGGATGATGATAGGCTTTTGCAAGGATGCGAGTGGACCCAGCAGGAGCCAATATGGCAAGCAGCCTCAGACGCTGTCGTGTGGCGAAGTGGAGATTCTCTTGTGCGGCTTCTGTTGAACAAGTCCTTGAAAGGCAATTGGTCTCTGCGGGAGAGCGTCTTTTATCGAGCCGAGCTCCCTGCGCTCGCAAGATATCCGCCCGAAAAGGGTTTTCGGGTGCTAAACGAGCACCCGCATGTCAAGTGCCGCCACCTTATGCCAATTGTCAAAGCCAAAATCGAAAGCAATGGGCTTCTAGATGACTGGCGCAAGGTGAAGACCTTCTCATGCGTGGACGTCTTGCAGGTGTCAGCGATGAGCTCTTCAGAGTTGGAGCACAAGCACCTGGATAGCAAGGCGACGGAGTTCTTGAAGCCAGGGGAGCAGCTCGCGCCGGAGTGTGGCATGAACAAGTTGACCTTGCAAAGCTACCAGGACTGCCGTGTCAGAGGCCAGATCGACTTCAGTTTCTTTCAGATGGTAGCAGGTCTGCTGCCATCAGAGCACACTCCAAAGATCGGCAACTTAAGGCTGCCCCAACTGTCGATAAAATACCAGCAGCTCCCAGCCATCCTCCCGGACATTGCGGAGATGTTCCACACGTCCATACCGTCGGAGCTGTGCCTCTTGTCGATTTCACTCGGGAAGTTGCCAGAGGACGAGCGACGCGCAGCTGAGGAGACTCTACGAGTCTTTGTTCCGAAGGACGTGGAAAGGGCATGCCGAGAAGGCGCAGAGGAATTGCTGCCAGAGCTCCGGAAAGCTTTGGAAGACTCTGAAGGAAGAGTCCGCAAAAGTGCAGCTGAAGCTTTGCTTTCCATCAGCAAAGAGGCACCGGAAGTGGCGATGCCAGCTCTCTGGGAAGTGTTTTTTTTGGGCGGCTGTGGGAAATGGGACCATTGTGAGGTTGCTGAAGCCTTGGGCTCCATAGGCAAAGAGGCACCCGAAGCCGTGCTGCCGGAGCTTCGGAGGGCTTTGGGCGCCTCTACCAGTGTCTGCAGAAGTGCCGCTATAGCCTTAGCCAGCATTGGCAAAGCAGCGAAGGAAGCCGTGCCCGAGCTCAGGAAGGCATTCAACGCCGGGAAAGGTTGGCCGTTGCGGACCGGGCGTTTCCAGATTGATTTTATCAAGAGGGCCTTGGCTTCCATAGGCGAAGAGGCAAAAGAAGCCTTGCCCGACTTGGTGAAGGCTTTCGACCCAAAAACACCCAAAGACTGGGAGCTGGATCGCACCGTGGGCTCCATCGATTTTGTATACTCTTGCAGCTGGGGCGATGGCTGGCAGGCTGCTGAGGCAATGGGTCAATTCGAAGAGCCAAGTGAAGCCGCGCTGTCGCAGCTCCGGCGAGCCTTGGGCAACTCTGACAAAGCCGTCCGCACAAAGGCCGCTTTCGTCTTGGGGTCCTGGAGCAAAGAGTTGCCCGAAGCAGTGCTGGAGCTCAAGAGGGCTTTGGGTGATTCTGACAAACGGGAGCGCCAAAGGGCTGCTAAAGCCTTGGCCAGAAGTGGCAAAACGGCAAAGGAAGCCGTGCCCGAGCTGCGGAAGGTTTTGGGGGACCCTGATCGCAATATCCGCAGGATTGCCGCTGCAACCTTAGGCAGACTCGGCAAGGAGGCAAAGGAAGCCGTGCCCGAGCTGCGCAAGGCGTTGGGGGACCCTGCCTTGGGCGTCCGCCGGAGTGCCGCTGAAGCCTTGGGCAGACTCGGCAAAGAGGCAAAGGAAGCCGTGCCCGATCTGTGGAAGGTATTTTTTTTGAAGTGCAGCGACTGCACTGGCGGAGAGGAGTATGACCTGGATGTACTTATTGCAATCGCTGCTGAAGCCCTTGGCTCCATAGGCACAGAAGCACCTGAAGCCGTGCTGCCGGAGTTGCGGAAGGCTTTGGACGACTCTTCCATTTGGGTCCGCAAAGAAGCCGTGAATGCCATGCGTGTTATGGCCGGAAAGGCACCCGAAGCTGTGCTGCCGGAGCTCCGGAAGGCTTTGGGGGATTCGAATTGCTTTGTCCGTCAAGGCACCGCCAAGGCTCTGGGTTCTATCGGCAAGGCAGCAGTGCCCGAGCTCCGCAGGGCTCTGCACGACTCTTACTCCCAGGTTCGCAGAAATGCTGTGAAAGCCTTGCTCTCCATATGCAAAGAGGAACCCCAAGTCGTGCTGCCGGAGCTCCGGAGGGCTTTGGCGGACTCTGACAAACACGTCCGCGCTGTTGCGATTGAAGCTTTGGTTTCCATGGGAAGGAAAACACCCGAAGCCGTGCTGCCGGAGCTGCAGAAGGCTCTCAGCGTGGCTTTCAGCGACTCCGATTCATTTGTACGCTCAAGAGCCGTCGACGCCTTGGGTTTCATGGGTACAGAAGCAGTGCTGCCGGAGCTCCTGAAGGCTTTGGGCGACTCTGACAAATGGGTGCGAGCAAGTGCCGCTGAAGCCTTGAGCTTCTTCGGCAAAGAGGCGGCAAAGAAAGCTGTGCCCCAGCTCCTGCAGGCTTTGCTCGATCGTGATAGAGAAGTCCGCCAACGTGTCGCTCAAGCCTTGGGTTCCATCGGCAGAGAGGCACCAGAAGCTGTGCTAGGCGAGCTCCTTCCCTGTTTCGCAGACGTTGATGACTTTAGATTTCGGAGTCCGGAATTTCTTAGAGGGGCCGTTGAAGCCTTCGGCTACATGGGCAAAGAGGCAAAGGAAGCCGTGCCCACACTCCTTAAAGACGTGGTGTACTGTCGCTTTGAGGAGGTGGCCAACAGCAGCGCTGAAGCCTTGCGCAGAATCTGGACAGAGTCAAAGGAGGCCGTGCCCCAGCTCGAGCTCCAGAAGGCTTTGATCGAACATAGGAGTTGCAGTCGGCATTGGCGTCGGTGACGGATGTGTGCAGTTTGCAAGCACGCAAAACGAAGCATCTGCATCTGGGGAGCCCGAGCGTGCATCCGATGATGACGATGACGATGATGGTGATGATGGTGATGATGGTGATGATGGTGATGGTGATGGTGTTGCTGCTGCTGCTGATGATGATGATGAAAATATTAATGCTGATGATGACAGTTACGTCGAGGATGAGGAGAATGCCAGCAATGTTTTTTCACTAATCAAGTTTGGCGAGAATGCAGTACAGTAAGCCTCAAACATGCCCGGAAGACATTAGTGCTGAGCTCGTTTTGCTGCAGCTGCAAGCCCATTTGCCGCCCAATTCCGATATACTTCCAACATCAACGCAAGAACGACATGGAGGTGTTGTGTCCGTCGATGCTTACATGTTGTTTCTTGGCTCTTCACTTTACGGCAAAGCAACAGTCGACGACCTTACCATAGCTGAGCAGTGAGATACAATTTGAGATTCCTCCTCCAAGACACTATATGCCATAGGGCAGGGCAGGGCAGGGCAGAAAGGGCAGAAGGCAGAGGGCAGAGGGCAGAGGGCAGGGCAGAGGGCAGAGGGCAGAGTGCAGAACAACGGTACCACCGAGTCATAATCCGATCCGACAGCCAGTGGTCCATCAACGTTATTACAGGCAGATGGCGCCCTAAAACCCACCACGTGCTTATCAACTGCATCCGTAGTTTGTTGCAGTTTCCCACAGGGAAGGCCAGGCTCATTTGGGTTAAGGCCAGGCTCAGGTGATAGAGGCAACGAGAGGGCTGATAAAATAGCGGAGAAGGGCAAAAGCACAAAGGCAGCACGAGGGAGTTTTCGGCACGATGCGTCCCATGTTGAACTTCGTGTGGTCCGTTACCAGAACTTCCCCTGTAGTGCCATGCATGGCATGATTCCTGCTGTCGCCACTGCGTCCGTGACGAGGAGCGCTTTCAGCTGTGTTGCTGGCATGCCGGGTGAACTTTAGATGAGTGGTGGCAATCCTTCAACAAGGAACCGTGTGAGGATTATTTTCGTGAGCACAAACGGAGTGAGATTAAGCTGGCGGTGTTGGTGTGGATCGAAGCCGTCTCTCACACGTCCTAAGCTTCTTTAAGTATCCCTATCGATTAAACCGGCTCCTACACCCTTTAAGCCTCCTATACAGTACCCATGAACCCAAAAGTCCTAAAGCACTAGACCCTAACCCTTCGTGTCCGGAAGGTTTCCGGAGAGGCGTAGACTAGATGCGACGTCTTCCGGCGCGACATCGCCTGGTCCACGTGGGGCGAGGGGCCCGGAATTCGGTCGTCGAAAAGGCTAAGAGAAAGCTTAGATACAAAATAGCAATAGGTTTACTACTGGTAGCAACAATAACAGTAGCAATAGTACTAACTCTAGTAAGAACAATTACAAGAACAAGGGGTGTTCGAGCTTAAGGGACAGCGTTTGAAGGTTTCCGGGTTCGGACTTGGGTTTTTGGATTTGGAGTAAGTCAGGGTTTGGAGGTTTCTGGGTTTTGGAATGTCCAGTTGAAGTTTTGGTATCGGACGGTTGGGGGTTGAAGTCTGTTAGAGCCTCTGGCCGTAAGCTGCACGAATTCAGAGGTTGTCATGTTCGGAGCTCGTCGATCGATCCGGCCACTCTCTCGTCTTGAGTGTCGCTGAAGTCGCTGATATACAAGGTGACCATTGAGGCTATCGCCTATTATTCGTATGACATAACTCTAACACCGAAACGGCGGCTTCAGGACTTGCTGGTAGTGGGGCTGTAGAAGCCGGTGTGAAGCACTTGGCGAATGCAGTGATCGGTCGCTCATACTGGGACTTGCTCGGCTGGTATCGATTATCGGAATATTGGTAGCGCCTTCCACACCCTTCCGTTCCTGCTCAGGACTCTGCCTTCTAAGTTGCTAGATTATCCAACTGGGATCAGGCGGAGGGCAAAGAGGTTCAATAGTTGCGACTTCCCTAAAGCCTAAAGCCTAAAGCCTAACCCCTTCATAGCTTTCGGGTTAGGCTTTCTCGGGGTGCTCTTGCTCGCGGTTCCTGCGATGATCAGGACAGCACCGCGCGTCGTTGCAGCTCCGATACCCTAGCCCTAAACCCTAGGCCCTACACCCTGTCTGCAAGAGAGCCCGGTTAGACCCGAATATATCTCTAAACCCCAAAGCCCTTTAGTGTCTCCTCAGCCCCAGTCGCTGCCCATGGCGGAGGAAACCTCAACCCTAAGCCTTGCACCCTTAAGTCCTGAAGCCCTAACGCCTTGAACCCCGAACCCCAAACCCTACACCCTTAAGCCCTTTCAAACCCTGCCTCACACCCTAAACCCTGAACTCTCACCTTTAAATGAGCCCTTAAAGGAACCCTGAAGGGAGCCCTTAAAGGAAGCGCTTAAAGGAACCTTATAGCCCAGGTCTCCTCATTAACCGTCGCCTCAGCAGCCGTCGGGTTTCAGCTGCCACGCTCCCAGTAATCTTTGCACTGTTAAACTCTTACCCCTACACACCGGCCTACTATTTAGGGGGCTTCGGGTTTCCAGGGGCGTTTTAGGATTTAGGGTGTATGTTTTAGGGTTTCGGGTTCGGTAAGTTTAGGGTTTGGGAAGTTTAGGCTTTACGGCTTCGGGTGTTTATGTGCAGTCTTAAGGTGTAGCGAGGTGTAGTGTTTCTTCGCGTCTGTTTTGAGAAATCTGGCTTCGGGGGCACTTTAGGATTAATGTTTATCATAACTCCTAGGCTTTCAATGCCAGTTTAGGGTTTAGCGCTTTGCGTTTCTATGCGTCTTTCTTTATGAGGTTTGTGGCTTAGTCTTAGTGTTAGGCTTTCTGCGGCGCTTTTGAGGCTTATCCCCTAGGGTTTCTAGGCGTGCACTTCAGAATTTTGGCTTGGGATTGCTCTGGGCGGTTTTGGGTTAATTCTTATCTCTTAGGTGTTCTATGCTGGTTTAGGGTTTGGGGACTGGGGCTTCTATTGTTTATGCCTCTGTTCTTGAGATATATGGCTTAGGGTTTCCACGGCACTTTAAGCCAAGTGGTGAAGATGGTTTGGGGCTCAAGGGCTTCCGGCCATTTTGGTTTGAGGCTGTTTAGGGGTTTAGGGTTAGGGTTCGGAGTTTAGGAGTTCAAGGCCTAGGCTTTGGGGTTTTTTTAGGGTTTAGGGTGCCATAGGGTTTGGTAGGGCTGTAGGTCTAGATCTCTGGGTTAAAGGCGAAGGGTTTGAGGTCAAGGGTTTCTGGAAGCTGACAAGTTCTGCCACAGATCCTGGGTTGCGAAGTTGAAATCCCAAACCCTAAATCCGAATTCCTACATCCCAAACCCTCGCTAAACCTAGTTCCTAAACCCTGAACCCTGGCCCACCGCCGGAACTCATCAGGCACCACCTGTGCAGGAGCCGGCGCCGATCGAGGTCGGCTGGGGAATCGGAAGACCTGCTTCAGGTTTAGGGTGTCGCGTTTCAATCGAAGCTTTAATCCTCAAGTCCTCTGCACCCCAGCTGCGGGCTCTGCGGCTTAGACTCGAGACTGGGGCTTCGTGGTTCCCAGGTGTAGCGCGTTGAGATACTGATCCAGTCCTCCGGCGTTGATGAGCCGAAGCTTTAAGCTTGAAATCTTGAAGCCCCTTCGCCCTGGAGCCCAAGAATGAGAGGCCCCACAGCCCCTCTACCCCAACCGTACCCTCAACCCTTCACTCAAGCGTACCTGAAGCCCCAAACCCAACCCTACCCTCCCTAAACCCTAAGCCCAAACGTACCGTAAATCCTAAACCCAGAGAGCTCCCAAAATTCTGAGTCGCCAGAGTGAGGTCGGCCCGATCCAGTTCCTGGGTTCTTGTGAAGGGATTTACTGGCTGAGCTGTCACTTGTGCAAAGATTTGCCCGTTCGCTTGTGCAAAGACGCCGCCGTTCGCTTGTACGCGCGCACGTGCGTTTTGTGTTGGCAGGGCCAACGAATTCGGAGTTGGTCACTTGTGATTAGGATATGTTCTCGGGCCGTCAAAGTGTACCAAACGTCGGCAGGGCCGTGGTTTCTTGCATTCGGCGTGCACGTTCGAGTTCGCGTGTTTTGGCTTTGAAGTTGCAAAAGTGCTGGCAGGGCCACATGATTCGGCTTTGCTGTGTTGGCTTTCGGCCCCTGTTACGTGGCACGTCACGGTAAGTCATCGACTGAAATCCTCGACAGGGGTGGTGGTTTTGCATCATGCCACATGCATCGGAACGAATGTTGGATCGGAGCGCATGGGTTTAAGGAAACGTGCTTGTGGAGCCCTGTCGCGCATCACGCATTATTCTTGTTTGCAGTTTGTGGTTGTTTAGTCGCTGCAATGCTTCCGAAACGTACTTTTGGAGCCTGCAAAAGTGCGTTCTGGACATCTCTTCGGAGTTTGCGCTGGCTCTCGGGCGTTGTGCACGCGCGGTCTCGGCTCCTGGCCAGGCCAAGCTAAGGTTATTTATTTGGAACCAATACGAGCGACCCAGGGGGACGAAAGCAGCAGTTACCTCGCTTGTCTTGCCTCTGCGCGGCACGGGCTCGGGACCCTCCAAAACGTGCTTTTCGGGTCTGCAAAAGCACGTTTCGGTGGTCCCTTCCGGGTTTGCGCTTTGCAGGATCCGAGCACGTTTGGATGCACAGGTTACGGCTCGGGGTTCGCGTTTTTCTGTTTTTAGGCTCTATTTCAGAGCACTTCAAGGTAAGCCAGCACCTCGATGCTTTCTCTGGTGCGGGTTTATTTTTAGGGCAGCCTTGCAAGTAAGCGAGTCGGAATCCCCGGGGGGCTGCTGTTTTGATTCGTGGCGCACGCATTCCAAACCATGTTGCATTCTCTAGACCGTGGAAATCATTACTTTTTGGAATCCTCATTTCTGCAACTGGAGTTTGGGCGCCACGGTTTCTTGCTTTCTTGCTAGACACCGGGAACGAATCCTTCGGGGCAGTCTAAGTTAAGTTTCCGAAGGTCAGGAGCCTTCTTTTTTTAGTTGTCCGAAGCTTGAGCGCGTACTGTTCATGCGTCA